TTATAAAATTTTAATTTTATTATTTTTATTTTATGTGTATGAGTGTATTGCCTGCATGTATGTGAGTGCACCCTTGTCGTGCAATGCCGTGGTGGTCAGACAAGAGCTTCGGATTCCCCTGGAACTGGAGTTAAAGATGGTTTGTAGCCGCCATGTGGGTGCTGGGAATCGAACCCGGGTCTGATGCAAGAGCAGTCAGTGCTCTTAATTGCTGAGTCATCTCTCCAGCCCCAGAAATTTTTACTTTTTACCCCCACTTTAACACTATTTTCATCCCTTGCAGTCCCCTCCCTCATGGCCAAACCATGACCTACAACCAAGCATGATGTCTGTTTTCCTCACTTATCTCTCAGAAATCACTGCCTGTATTTTACCAAAGTCACCGTTAGTGACAACAACTTTCTGAGGACACATAACCAACATCCTTTACATTTGCAAGGATGCTGAATCATGGACACATTGACCTAAATAACTGTAATTAGGGCATGTCACTAAATGGCAACCTTCTGTGATAACATCACCTTACATTCCTGGTTACCCACCATGCTGGTCCTGAGAGTCATTTTCAGATAACTCTTACTCTGTAAATCAACAACCAAATAGCTGACATTTAAGAACATTTTCTGGAATGTTCATGGGTGGAAAGATAATTTGAGGCACGAGTGAAGGCTTTCCCATTTCCACAACTCTGCATAGGGGGAAAGAATCCTCTGAAATGTGTCTAGAGGCCTCTTGTCCACTTGAACCTTCTCCCTGGATCTCTCATTCAAAATACCAACCGAGGTCCCAGTCCTCACCGCACATGAAAACACACTCCAGGGACCCAGTTCACCTTCATAGACTTAACTGCGCTGTAACTGCAGAGCACACAATGGCTAGTTTTCAACAAAAGATGGTGCACTCTCGTTTTCTTTCTTAAACTGCTAGTTTTTAGCTGACACACAAAACACGAAATGAGCACTGTCACAGTTGGAGTTGGACAATCCCTGGAATTACAAAGTTGTTTGGGAAGTGGACTGAAAAGAAAAGGGGACTTTGAGTCCTCGGTTCCTTTAGGACTCAATTTTGTCTATTCGTGCAGTCTAGACTTGTTATCTTGCCACACCGCGTGTCTCAGAAATGTAAGTGGAGGGAAACCAGTTTGGCAAGATAGTAAGGGAACAAGATAATGGGTTTAAATGATGAAATAGGAAATCCGTTCCTGGGTGGTGTTTGGCAGTTTAATGCTTCAGAGTGGGGGTGGGGGATATGGGATAGTGGACACTGGTACATTCGGTTCCT